GTATATATTTTCACCTATTAATAAGGAATGATAATAAATAACTTGAAGTACCTTCAACATCAATAATAAAGACACATTCATTCTGATTTCCATGGCAATCTACTGCTGTAAAAAGAATTTCAGTAACTCCAATGCTAAATTCGGTTCCATTTGTGACATTGTAAGACTCAATAATTTCATCTTCACAACAGTTATCAGTAGTGATGTCAGAGGTCCATGACACTAGGGCGGTATTAACACCTTCGTCAGTATCAACAGTAATATCGTCCGGACATATCACATCAGGAGAAGTTACATCTATTCAAGAATAATAGGTAATCGCAAGAAATTTTGTAGAAACGCAAACAATGTGTGAAACATTTATAAATATTCACATAAAAATACATACCAAAAATGTAAACATTGAAGGAGCAATTGCCAGTGTTTCCTGCCATGTCTGTTGCATTACAGGTTACTGTGTAGTTGTCCAATGGAAAAATACCTTCAGTCGGATTACAGAACACAGTTACATCACTATCATAATTATCTGTTGCTGTCACTTCAGTCCAAATTACATCGGAAGTGCAATTATCATCAGCATCAAATTCTACATCTTGCGAACAGTTCAAAACAGGAGTTTCGCAATCTGAACATCAATAAAATAATATCTTAAAAATAATAAATCAATCTACAGTAAGAGATATAACTGAATAATTCTCCAAAAACACAAAAAATATTGTTATTACCAAACACCCTTATAGTAAAATTGCATAATGCGGAGTTGTCACTACAGTCAGTGGCTATGTATGTTACTACATTTTCACCAATTTCAAATTCATCTCCTGATGTGTAATCTGACGTTATGTTTACATTTTCACAACAGTTGTCAGTTGCGTTGATGGGTTCCCAAGTGACAGATGCTGCTATAGAACCAGTTTCAGCACAAACTTCTATGTCAGCTGGGCAATTTATGACTGGATCTTCATCATCTGGTTAAATTAAAAATTATGATTTGATTGAAATAGAACATATAAATATTTTTAAAATATATACTTAGAATTTCTAATATTAACATATTTGTACCTAAATAAATGTATATATTGCATTATTATAATACTTTGAATATCTTTCATCTTGGTATTATAAAATTAATACCCTACAATTTCTCCGATGCAAATTTATGGGTGGGGCTGCAGACAATGCAATCGCACCCCCACCCCTAAATTGTATTAAAAAAAATAATTGTTGTACTGTATTGTGATATGAATAACCAGTAAGCTTTTAAAGAAATGAGAGTGCAATTTTCAGGCACCTAGAGGCCCATAGTCTAAAAATGTTCGCACCTCAGTCCCAACCATGGTGGGGCTGAGGTTGTATAGACTTTTACGCACCCCCTACCAGCAAATCCTGTGTCCACCTCAGGTTCTATTACTAATAATACATTCACAAACTTTTGCAATGCATTATATTTTGTTAATAATAATTATAAGACAATGAAAATATGACATACCATATATAGTAATGGTAAATGTACAATTGCCAGTGTTATCATAATTGTCAGTGGCGTTACATGTTACAACAGTGCTGACATCATAAAATGTGCTTCCTATATGATCACATACTGGTGTGAAAGAGTCTCCAGAGTTGTCTGTAACAGTGGGTGCTGTCCAGGTGACATTTGCCAAGCAGTTCTCGCCGCCTGTTACGTTTTGGTTCGGAGGACATTCAAGATCCGGGGGCTCACAATCTAATTATAATCCATAAAATGCTGTTACTGCAACATTATTACAATAATTTGTAGAATTAAATCACTTAATTTAGAAATATGGGTTTTTTTTATATTTCGAATATGTACCTGTGAGAGAGCTTAATCTTAACTACTGATAAGTACTTTTGATGATGTTATTTATTTTGATTTGTTTCTGGTAACTGCAGTGAATATAGCAGTGTGCAATCAAACATTCTATGTTGATAATAATTACCATTAATGTTAATGTATATTTAAATTGTAAATAGTACCTTTAACTTCAACAGTAAATTGACAGTAACCAACATTCCCATTACAATCTGTTGCTGTATATCCTACAGTGTATACACCAAGGCTCAGAGGTTCTCCACTGGTGTAGTTAGCAGTTATGTTGACATCACTGCAGCAGTTGTCAGTTGCATTGGCTGGTTCCCAGGTGGCATTCACTGAATCTGTTCCTAGGTCAGTGCACACCTCAAGGTCAACTGGGCAAGTCACATTAGGGACTGTCTCATCTGTGCAGTGAATAAAATGGAAATCGTAAAGGTATTCTAAGCAATAAAAATATTAAGCCAATGTATACACACACACACAAACACACACACATATATCTGTCTCTTATACACATCTAGATGTGTATAAGTATATATATATATTCTTGTATATCATCTTCCCAATCTAGAGGTTTGGTGTTGATTGACGGTTTTTAAATGGCATGATGAGTAGTAAAGTGATGCATAGTCGAGTACAGGCATCCCTCTAATTAAGGACTGCTCCAATGAATGACAACTTTTATCTGGTACCAATCAACTGTCGTTTATCTTCATTATTCTAATTAGAGACCAAAGCTACTAAAATAATGCATAGTTTGATGTTTATTCGACTTACATGTTTTTAAAGCCATGGTGCTATGCCCCTTAAATAGCCCCGTTGCTAGACTCATTGATCAGGGGTGGTGTAAAGCCCACAAATACAAAAATTACCACAAATAATTTTTTGATAAATATTATCATCCCGCAAATGTCAAAATAACAACAATTTTTTTTTAAATGGCCCAATAGTGAAACATCAGATTAACTATAAATGTAAAAGCATTTCAGCTACAAATGTAAAATTTTTCTTTTTACCTCAAATGTCATTATGTCAGCAACAAATGTAAAAAAAAACAACTCATATTAAAATAAGTTATCAGATGTATGCGTGTGTTTGTGTGAGTGTATGTGTGGATCTCAGTTTATCAATATCTATATAAACCTTATCTTACCTATGATGAAAATGTTGAATGTACAGTACCCAGTGTTGTCATAATCGTCAGTAGCATTACAAGTGACAGTAGTATTATATTCAGAGAATGTTGCTCCACTCATGTAATCACAAATTGGAGAAAAAATATCTCCTGAGTTGTCTGTGACATTCGGTGCGGCCCACGTTGCAGTTGC